TCTCATTAACTCTCAGTTGCTCTCAGTGGCTTCCAACGACTCCTAGTAGCTCCCAGTGGCCCCTCTAAGCTCTTAGTGACTCCTGGTGGCTCATGGTGGCTTCCAATGGCTCCAAATGGCTCCCTGTGGCTCTGAGTGGCCCCTCTTAGCTCTCAGTGGCTCTTGGTGGCTCTCAGCGGTTCCCAATGGCTACCAGTAGCTCCCAGTGGCCTCTCTTAGCTCTTAGTGGCTCTTAGTGGCTCTTAGTGACTCCCAGTGCCTCCAAATGGCTCCCTGTGGCTCTGAGTGGCCTCTCTTATCTCTCAGTGGCTCTTGGTGGCTCTCAGCGGTTCCCAATGGCTACCAGTAGCTCCCAGTGGCCCCTCTAAGCTCTTGGTGGCTCCCAATGGCTCCCAATGGCTCCCAGTAGCTCCCAGTGGCTCTCATTAACTCTCAGTTGCTCTCAGTGGCTTCCAACGACTCCTAGTAGCTCGCAGTGGCCTCTCTTAGCTCTTAGTGGCTCTTGGTGGCTCATGGTGGCTCCCAATGCCTCCAAATGGCTCCTAGTAGCTCCCAGAGATGCCTCTTAGCTCTTGGTGGCCCCAATGGCTCCCAATAGCTCCAAATGGCCCCCAGTAGCTACGAGTGGCCCCTCTTGGTGGCTCTCAATGGCTCCCAATGGATCCCAGTGGCTCCCAGCAGCTCCCAGTGGCCCCTCTTACCTCTTGGTGGCTCCCAGTGGCTCCCAGTGGCACAGGGCCAGTCCTTACAGAGTTTGGCTTAGCTGCCATTGCCGGTGTCACTCAGCACATGGAGGATGCTCCATTTGCCTTAAGGTGCATTGATGTCACGTCACTCGTTCATTCCAAAACAACAGAAAACCATTAATTACCCCCACAACGATCCATTTACTTAAGTCTCCTTAACAACAGATGGCTTGAATACGTGCACACCACACAAAAGAGGAGCGTGCAGTCATCAGCTCATAGCTCAGTGTTGGGTTCCATCGTGTGATTGGGAGCAAAGGCATTGGGGGGTGGGAGAGCATCCTAACGCTCCATGCTTCTTGCAGCCATCGTCCCAGCATCTCACGTTGGGTTTAGGGACACCTCTTGGGACCGGGTTGCATCCTTCCCTCCCACCACAGCCCCGGTCCTGCTGCAGGGAGAGCAATAACAGTTCCAGGCAGAACATCAGTGCCTTTCTTTGAGTTTGGAAGTGATTGCTTCTCGTTCCAGCTCGGGAATCACTTTTGGAGTCAGTTTTCATCTCCAGATACCCAGAAGTAAAGTGAAAGAGAGCCCAGAAGGATCCCGTGCCATCAGAGTAATTTTCAAGCACCCCGTTGTGGTTCCCAGTGCCTTAATTACCACCATGGATCCAACAAGAGGTATCGTGGTTCATCTCACTCTTCTCCTCCTCTGCCTCCCTCCCCAGGACTCACTCACACTGACCCCATATCCTTGGGGTGCTCACATCATCCCCACATCCCCAGAAGGTTCACACCATCCCCATGTTCTTGGGTTGCTCACATCACCCCCATGTCCCCAGAATGCTCACACCATCCCCCATCTTGGGGTGCTCACACCATCCCCATGTTCTTGGGGTGCTCACACCATTCTTATGGCCCCAGAATGCTCATACCATCACCCATCTTGGGGTGCTCACACAGTCCCCACGTCCCCAGAATGTTCACACCATCCCCATGTTCTTGGGGTGCTCACATCCACCCATGTTCCAAGAATGTTCACACCATCCCCCATCTTGGGGTGCTCACACCATCCCCATGTTCTTGGGGTGGTCAGATCACCCCCATGGCCCCAGAATGCTCACACCATCACCCATCTTGGGGTGTTCACATCATCCCCATGATCTTGGGGTGCTCACACCATCCTCATGTCCCCAGAATGCTCACACCATCCCCCATCTTGGGGTGCTCACAGTGTCCCCATAATCTTGGGGTGCTCACACCATCCTCATGGCCCCAGAATGCTCACACCATCCCCCATCTTGGGGTGCTCACACAGTCCCCACGTCCCCAGAATATTCACACCATCCCCATGATCTTGGGGTGCTCACAGTGTCCCCATGTTCTTGGGTTGCTCACATACCCCCAAGTCCCCAGAATATTCACACCATCCCCCATCTTGGGGTGCTCATATCATCCCCATGTACTTGGGGTGCTCACATCCCCCCATGTCCCAAGAATGCTCACACCATCACCCATATTGGGGTGCTCACAGGGTCCCCATTTTTCTTGGGGTGCTCACACCATCCTCATGGCCCCAGAATGCTCACACCATTCCCAATCTTGGGGTGCTTACACCATCCCCATGTTCTTGGGGTGCTCACACCATTCTTATGGCCCCAGTATGCTCATACCATCCCCCATCTTGGGGTGCTCACACAGTCACCAAGTCCCCAGAATATTCACACCATCACCCATCTTGGGGTGCTCACAGTGTCCCCACGATCTTGGGGGTGCTCACAGTGTCCCCATGTTCTTGGGGTGCTCACACAGTCCCCATGTCCCCAGAATGTTCACACCATCCCCCATCTTGGGGTGTTCACATCATCCCCATGTTCTTGG